AAGAACGATGAAAGCTCCATGACTTAACCAACCAACTCAAAGAGCAATACTCCATGAAAAAGTTACATACATATACACAGAGATGATTCGAACTTTCATCACACACTATCATAACCAGAGACATTAAGGAAAACACCAAACTGCATCATGAGGCAAGCCCTAACTTGGAATCCGGAAGGGAAGCGGAAAAGATAAAAGCTAAAGAATACATTATGTCGGGAAATAGAGGCTGATATGAAATGGATGAATAACAACTGAAAAGTATTGTCCAGGATAGGGTTGGATGGAGAATGCTGGCATGTGCCTATGCTCCTCTACGAGTGGTAACAGGCGTAATTAAGTAAGTAAGTAATCTCACTTGATATTCTTAATACTGATTAATAAAAACATAAAATATCATACCCATTTCACTGATTTAAAATTTCATTAAAAATCTTAAATATACAACAAAAGCTTAAATACTACAGATGTTTATTTTGCCAGATTCCATGTGTAATTTTTTTCTTTTCTTTTTAATCTTATCTACCTTTCAACCATTTTAGTTGTCAAGTGAATTTCAATAATTTATTAATAAACTCATGGAAAAATAGCGATAGAACTATCATGTGTGTGTGTATATAGAAGAGAGAGAGGGAGGTAGGGTGGGTGGGTGGGGAGACAAAAGAATGATCATCACCACCATCATTCAACTCATCGATGTTACCTACTAAAACTGTTCCATAATAATAATCAGATGTCTCTGTTGACTATATATTTCTAAGTTGTATAGATCATAATTATATGTGTTTACTCTTTACTGATTTTTCATATTATTCACAAATTCATTTCATATTCGATAGTTGTCTTTGATCTTTTTGTAAAGTAAATACTAAGGATCATTGAACTGGAAGATTCAATTTTGTTCAATTTTTTTATAGTCACCATAATAAAAGATGATAATTGAAATGTTCAATTTCGAAGTAGATATATGTTGTATACATCTGTATGTATGTATCTATGTATGGGTATATGCTCTGGACAACTAGTTCCTTACTATCATTGATTGAATAAGGTAACCAAAAGGATTATATAAGATCGATATTTCTTTGGAATAAATAATATATACAAATTATGTCATCATCAGGATGAAAGTAATCCACAGTATTTTCAGTTTTCATGAAATATATTGTAACCATCAGTAATTTCTGTTGTTTCTTCCATTTATTTATTGAGTGATTACTGTAATATCAATGTAAATTTGTTACTAATACGTTCATTTCAAACACTAGCTCTTATCATTTTAATAGTTGAGATTATGAATCAATTGAAGTTAGACCACCATGGAAAACTTGAAAGCACTGGACGGCCATTTCGTCCTATTATGGGACTCCTCATTGGAAGTGTGCATCTACGATCCTGCCTCGCGAGATTCGAACTCAGGACCTATTAATTTCGCGCGAGAACGCTTACCATTTAACCGAAATACTGAAATTGATTCAGGTACAATTAAGTTATTTAACACAGAAGTTAATAGTTTCTATAATCCATAAAGTTAGGAACATTTATTCATAGTGATCCATCTTTATGATAAATAAATCTTATTCAGCGTTTGGCAACAATCCAATTAATGAAGTAATAACAAAGTATATTACCTTTCATTCTAATGGGTGACCTATGCTCCTTCACGAAGGGTAACAGACGTAAGTAAGTTTAGTTTTTTGGTGATATAAACAGAACTCATCGATTAGTTATCATTTTGACTAAGTTAAACAAAGACGTCATTTACCATAAATATAGAGCTTGTCCTGTACACCATGATGTTCACACGACAAGCTGTGAACCCCATGTGGAGAAATTCAAACACTTCACTTCTACCCTAAGTTTTTGCCGATGATGTCGTTCAGAAGGACGATGAAAGCTCCACGACTAAACCATCCAGCTCAGAGAACAAAACTCCATCAAAAACACTTATCTGAGCTACAAATCTTCTCCACCAGCTTGAGATATCAATTTATTTAGACTAGTAGTCCTATTACAACATGATTGGTAGAAATTAAATCAACACAAAAAGGATTAGATATAAATGACATTACTCACTACCTAATGATCAATCATTGTCATATGTCTAATATATATGATTAAATTTTGACAGATTAGTGACTATATTTAATGTCATATTATATGAAAAAAATAAGATCAATCTGACTCAAATCAGTCTTCCTTTGTCGCAGATTATATCCTGAGTATAGTTTGTTATCTTGTAATGTTGAGATTGTTTAGTTAAATTCTGAAATTTCAAAAAAACGAACATAAAATTGACTGGAATCTCATTGAAGTCACAAACCGAACTAAGTAAAAACGACCACTGAAAACTTGACAGCAATGAATGACCATTTCGTCCCAGTGGGGCATTTCTCATCAAAGCGCACCCATAACCCGTTATCCAGAAACAGAATTCAGGACCACTGGTCTCACGCTCTAGACCACAGAACTGGAATCTCATAATGTACAAACCTGACTCAAATCAATTCAAGATGTTGTGCGATCTTCATTCATTACTTCCAGTGGGTACTTTCTTTACAACCGACAAGGTTGAAGTCCATTAGTCACGAGTTCTCACTAGAACGCCTGAAGTTTCCTCTCAAAGTTAGTCGTTACTTAGCATATGATGACTATCAGTATGAGGGGTGGTAGAGATTGTTGACTGGAATTCCTTAATTTCCTCAAGAAAAAACTAATATGTCAGTTTGTGATATTACTAAGCAGTTTGTATTAAGTTCATTAGATGAAGTTAGTACAACAAATATACATTAATATCATGAGTTTTAGGGATATTATAGTAATTTTAATAGTTGAGACCATGAATCAATTGAAAATAGACCACCATGGTAAACGTGGAAGCACTAGAAGACCGTTTCGTTCTATTGTGGGACTTCCCAACAGTGCAAATCCACGATCCCGGCTCGCGAGATTCGAATCCAGGACCAATCAGTCTCGCGCGCCAGCACTTAACCACTAGACCACTGAGCCGGCCAGCATCCAACGGTGTTTATGTCTAACTTCAACCAAACCACGAAATTGAGCAACCATCCTCCATTATCTTCAGTGAGTTGATATCTCCCAACAGACCTGGTTGAACTCCACTGGCCACTGCTTCTCACTAGAACTTCAGGAAATACCTCTTGAAGCAAGTCACTAGTGAGCATATGTTGATTAATATAAGAAGGGGTTGTTATGGAGATTTTAGTAATTTTATATAGTTGGAATCATGAATCAATTGAATCTAGACCACCATGGAAAACCTGGAAGCATTGGACGGCCATTTCGCCTTGTTGTGGGACTCCTCAGTGGCAATGAGCATCTACGATCCCGCTTTAACATTTTTTTAAACTCATCGATAAAATATCTAGTCCTGTCTTATGTTTGAGCTTTAGGTAGATAATGAGAAAGAATAACTGACAAACTCTATCTAATGTTACTTAAATATCAGTTTAAGAGAGATACTAGGGTGAATCATTTATGTTTCCTGTAAAGGGTTGTACGTTTTTGGACATAAAGACTAGTGCTCATATTAATAACAGCCATAACATGAAATGAACTAAGCATGATAATTTATCAAGTATTTATTATAAAAAAACATGGGTCAGACTATTCTATTTTAGTCAGTAGTAGTATTGCATGTTTTTATTGAATTATTCACGCATGAAATAACTTTTTAGTGATTTTCCTTATATATTACTGATTTTTTTTTAGGGGGGTAGGGATGGGGGAGGTAAGTTGTATCCACAGTAATTGTCAAAATTAGAGTTTATATTAGATAAATATAATTATAGAACTATTATATTCTTTAACAAATGATCAAGGATTGGATAAGTGTTGAATGAAAATCAAAATAGCGATAGCTAGTTAAGTAGATGGGTAAATAGATCAATTGGGAAGATAAGTAAATTCTTTATTCAATCTTTGTGTAGCTCTTTTTTCTTTCTAATATCTATCTTCATCAATAAGTCAATACATAATAGATTCATTATTATGGTCAATATTCAACTTCTTATTATTCCTTTTTAATTTATACCCCCCTTTAATTATTTTATTCTTTTCTATCATAATTATGATTGGTTAATACACACAATATTCGTTTATCCAGTTTTGTCTTTTTTTTTTTCTATTTTCGACGCATTAATTAACCAATCGGAATTTAGATTAACATTTTTTTGTTTTTTGTTTGTTTGTTTCTTACATACATACAGGAATATTTACATTGGACAATATTTATGATTATCCAGGGGAAAACAAACATACATTCATATATATATATACACACACACACGCATAGTTTCAGACACGTTAGTTAGTTCAATTTGCTTGAAAGAGTAAAAAAGAAAACTGAGTAAAGAATTTCACAACACAAAAATATACATCAGTGTGTGTGTGTGTGGGAATGTGAGTGTATCGATATGTGTGATGTGTGTATGTATGCATGTATGTAGGTAGGTAGGTAGTTAAGTAGGTGAATGTTGATAAATAGATGGGAATAGTTGTAAATCTTTTATTTTTTATTATGATTGGTTAATGAATGATTATGGTACCTTGTTTTTTTTGTTTTAATTCTACTTATTATATGACCAATTTTATTTTTTATTTAAAAAAAAACAAACTCAATGAGTATCTAGTGCTAAGTTGTTACTCCTTTCAATGGATAACATGGAAATGATGATGATAATGAAAGGGGAATCATTCTATTTATTTCAATCTTGACAATTTGGATCTTGAATTTGAATGAATAAAGAATCTTCTGAAAGTTCTTCTATATTCTTCGTCTTGTTATTATTATCTTAGAGGATACATTTGAAATAAAAGACATCTGTTCAAAAGATCATCATTATTGAATATTTGGAACTATTCAATCAGTTATTGATTTTTTTTAAAAGTGAACAATTGAAGAAACTAATACATTTTACGAAACTCTATTTTAATACACACACATACATATATATGTATATAATGACTTACTTATATGGATGCATATAAGTTTATTCAATGTTCTAATTTGTTTAATTTGTAAATTCAATTTTCAATCGTTGAGGATAATAATATTCAAACCAATTAGTAATTTATATAAAATGAAAATGAAATCAGGTATGTCACCTATTCAATTAGTATACATTCATTTTATGATGTTCAGTATAATGGTTCTTATAAAACATATCTTGATAGCTTGAAAATACCATAATCAGTTATGGTAGAGTATGTTATCATTTAAATACTTAAATAAAATGTCATCGATCAGTTATGGTTCGACTGAGAGTGGAGATAATTCACTAATCCACTCTAAATGTTCTCATGTGGTCACGTGTATACATTCACTAATAGGGAAGTCTTACTCACAGCGTCCTTGCAGAGGGGATGTTGTCTAAGAAATTGGGAGGACTGAAGACACTTTATCATGAGGTGATCGGTCATCGGTTACCATAGGATTACATTCTGTGATGTTGTTCCACTGTCTTATGGATTAGACCTTCAGTTCAAAGGTTATGTATGTGATCCCCTAAGAAAACTACCTTCTTCGGTTTGTTCACCAAAGGAGTATCACAGACCCCCACACAAATTGAATGATTTATGTGGTGCATATCCATTTGATGCCTTCTTATACTAATAATTATGTGTTTAAACAATAAATAATAATGATAATATTCACTCTATTAGCTTATTATTTGAGTAAATAACTCGGATATCTTTATGGACAACTTTATTGTTCGACTAAATTGTTTCAAAACACTTTAGTTTTTTTAATCGTATCCCCTATATTTGACATTAATTCAGTATTATTTATAACAACTGAATCCAAACTAATATTACCTCATGAAATCTTTCAGTTTAAATCGATGTATCTTGCAGCACTTTTTCCCCAATTGTCTTTATCATGGTTACTTGGTATGTATGTTGGATTGGAATTAGTACCAAAAATAAATAGACGATTTCAGAAATTTTATATAGTTGAGATCATGAATCAATTGAAGCTAGAGCACCATGGAAAACCTGGAAGCACTGGACGGCTGTTTCGTCCTATTTAGATGGTTTAGCTTTAATTGACTCATAATCTCAACTATATAAAATTACTAAAATCTCCACAAACCCACCTTTGATTTCAGAAATTTTTAGCGTTTGATATAAATAATCATTCATACCCCATCCTTTGAAACATATCTTATTTAATCATAGTATTAAAATTTTCAACATTGAAACAATAATACCATAAATACCTGACCAATTGTCTTGATTGACTACTAATTAGTAATCAACGTTATTCATGTTTTATTCTAAGAGCTTCGTGACTAGTCAATGCCAACTAGATAACATGAAGGGAAGTATTAGTTTTTACAAGGTTCCAGATAGATATTACTGACAAGTACCAACCAGTATAAAACTTATATCTTACTTCTATTTACTTACGCCTGTCACCCGTCGTTGAGGAGTATAGACAACCCACCAGTATTTTCCATTTCACCCTGTCCTGGGCAATCCTTTCCAGTAATTTCCAGTTAACATTCATCCTTTTCATGTGTGCTTCTATTTCCCAAAGTAATGTGTTCTTTGGTCTTCCACTTTTCCGTTTCCCTTCTAGATTCCAAATTAGGGTTTGCCTCGTGGTGCAGTTTGTGATTTCCTTAATGTATGTCCTATCCACTTCCAACATCTTTTCTTAATTTCCTCTTCATCTGGAAGCTGGTTTGTTCTCTCCCATAGTAGGCTGTTGCTGATAGTATCCGGCCAGTGAATGTTCAGTATTTTGCGTAGACAACTGCTTATAAATGCTTGTACCTTCTTGACGATGGATGTAGTAGTTCTCCACGTTTGAGCTCCGTACAATAGAACTGACTGTCTTGACGTTCGTATTAAAGATTCTGACCTTGAAATTGGTTGAGAGTTGTTTTGAGTTCCATATGTTCTTCTATTGTAGAAATGTTATCCTTACTTTACCAATCATTACGTTTACGTCTGCATATAAAGATATCATTTATGAAAGAAAATCATATTCATAAATAATATGATTGATCATGTTGAAGTTTTACTTTGTCAAATAGTGTAGTCTAGCTTTATTCCAGTCTACCATCAATTGATCAACTAACAATTCTACAGTCAAAAAGTAGTTTTGTATATAGTTTATATATTTCATGCTGACTTACTAGCCAGTGCTGACTTGGAATTTTCAGAAACTGAACTCCACAGATGCGTTTTAATAATGAGTCCCAATTAATATAAAATCTAAGTTCTAAATGATCTACTGACTGACTCTAGTCAACTAATATATAAATAGTCCAAAGTATATCAAGTCATCAATGAACATACTATGTCAGTTGGTTGACAGAACTCGATCACTCCGTGGTAAACTAGTTATTAATAGTTAGACCCTACAAGGTCTCACTATTGTTCTCATTAGGGGACCTCATAACAGTATAGAAAAGCATCTGTTGACTTACTTTTAGAGAAATGTGATCCAAGTAAACAACAGAGAAAAGGTAAGTAAGAAAAATAAACTGAAAATACATATGAGATTATCTCTAGGGGAAGTATCTACGTAACTGTCAATTTTTTAAAAACTGATTTCCTATTTCCCTTATATATCAGTTAAGTAGCAAACACATCTCAAATAAGATGGAGTAATTATATCAAGGGAAATTAAACATTATGAAAGGGGATTATCAGGAAAGTTATTGTAAATCAACGGTTATTGATTAGGTCTTTGTAGTCATCTAATACTTTTTCGGTTATTATAGTTTCCTGTAATGTAATTTATCTTGAATTATCCGAAGGGTTTGTGGAGATCTTTAGTAATTTTATATAGTTGAAATCACGAGTCAATTAAAGCTATAACACCATGGGAAACCTGAAAGCACTAGACAGCCGTTTCGTATTGTTGTGGGTCTCCTCAGTGGCAGTGCCCATCCATGATACCACCTCACGAGATTCGAACCCAGGACCTATCTCGAATTAATACATTAATACATTAGAAATATTCATTTTAAGTAAGTAGGGAATATAAGTGCTCTATGGAATTAAATTATTATTATTATTATCAAGAAGTATGACGTAATCAGTTTGTTATGTTGCTTTGTAGAGAATATGTTAATTTATAGTTGATGTGCATCATCATAAATCGATAATAATTTAGGTGCCATTGAAATACAGCGACTACTACTGATCCATTTAATCCTTGTTCTAATCTACTAGAAAATGTATCCCAATGACCGTACTGTGGGTAAAACTCAAAACTATTAGTTTACACTTTCAAATTTAATAGTTGAATTCATGAGTCGATTAATGTTAGACCAACACTGAAAACCTGGAAGCACTGGATAGCCATTTCGTTCTAGTATGGAACTCCTCAGTAGTAAGCATCTAGGATCCCGCCCAAGGGATTCGAACTCAGGACATTCGGGCTCGTGCACAAGCACCTAACCTCTGGACCACGGAGTCGGCATCTAACAGTATTAATGTCTAATTTCAACCAATCCAAATTTAATAATCTATGATACTCTTTTTTTAAAACTTAGGGGTTTTATATTTAAATAAGTAACGAGTTCCCCTTTAGGTATGTTTCTCCTTAAAACAATAAACATTGACTATTACTTCATTAAAATATCCCAGTTGAAAAAATGATTATATAATTGATCATTGAATTGACAAAAACTATTTACCCCCCCTCTCCGTATTATTGAAATGGTATATCATACAATCTGTTAATTACTATCTAAATTTGAGCTAACTAAGTTAAATGATTCAAGTAAAATAACATGGCCGTTTGTGTTGTTATTGTTAGATTCCCCCCCTCTTAATAGTTGATCATGGTTTTTTTTATTTATAGGGATCAAATTAGATATCAGTTAATGTTTCATTTATTATTTATTTAAACACATAAATATTGGTACAAAGAAGCACCAGATACATATACGCCACACAAATCTCATTTGATTTTTGTAAGGGTTGTGATACTGCCCAGATGCCCAAACTGAAACAGGTGGTTTTCTTAATGGGCCACACCTGGAGCCTTTGACCTAAAGATCTGATCCACAAGGTGGTGGAGCATCTCAAGGAGATGCCGTCTCATGGTAGCCGGTGACTGACGATTTATTCATACACCACTTGTTCCATCAGGATGCAGGAGCCCATGTGCACCATTGGCTTGGAATCAGGGTTTTCAAACTCCACTAGGTGGACTTTCCGTGTCCACCAACCCGGTTGAAGAGCCGGACATTCTCTTTTTGTCCTCTCAATTTCGTAAACAACAGCCGTGGCGCGAGAAGGCAGTGAGCAAGACTCCCCTGCTAGTTGTTGTATGCACGTGGTCATATGAGGGCATTGGGAGAGGGAGAGCGGACTTTCCCCACTCTCGGCCGTACCAGGGCATTTGGTTCATGAGGTTAGCGCCCTACTCAAACAATTCAGTCATTTATTTTCTTGTTAAATTTATGTACTCGAGAGATATTCTTTTTTAAAGAAAAAAATCCTCATGAACCATTGTGAAACCCAAATGGGAAATAATTTAGCTGTTTTTTATCCCCTTTTTGTGAAATTCATGTCACTTGTATATGATTGAATGGAAAATGTAGTTAGGATAAGATACTGATCAATTGCAGTCTTAGACATCAATGGGAAGATTCAAGTAAACAACAACAAGTGAATTTAACTCCACCTCACCGAACAAGCAACTGGCTCTCAGGACTCAATAACTAAGTGGATAACGCGAAGGCATTTGAAGTGAATGGTACTAGGTTCAAGTCGCAGAGTGAATATCAACTCTGAGATGCTGGTACATCCAACTTACGAGTCCTAAATAAGACGAAACGCGCTTTCTGGATCCCACTACTAGTCACTATCCATCTTTGCTTATAATGAAGTTAGGATAGTTTAATTGTATGTTAAAGTGTAAATTATTATAGTATTATATAAGTAAGGTTTACAATCCTTTACTCTAACAAATATTTCAATAATAAATACAGTTACTACCATTATCGTTATTATAATGTAGCATAAATTCCAACAATCTAACTAACATTAATAAAAGGTCACAATTAACTATTATAAAGAAATTGGTGGCCTGCTTGAACATCTAGGCTACCTGTCCCTGTCATCTAGATATTTCAACAACTTAACTAATTTTCAGAAAGGGTTTTGTGGATATTATAGTAATTTCAATAGTGAAGAACATGAATAGCAAGGCGGGATCGCGGATGCACACTGCCACTGATAAGTCACACAATAGGACAAAACGGCCGTCTAGTGCTTCGAGGTTTTCCGTGGTTCTCTAACTTCAACTGACTCATGATTTGAACTATCGAAATCATCTAATTTTGTTTGTTTTAATACATCATCATAATCATTAATCGCATAACCTATTCAAGTGAGTTTCTTAAAAGTGCATAACCTTTCACTATACAAGTTACAAGAAAAGCCCAATCGGAGATATCGTTAGTACTGGCAATATATAGCGAAAACAATATACGTAATTTCGATATCTATCCCTGAACTGCTAATATCACTCAATATTTATCGTGAGGATCGACGAAGAATTAGGAAACAGAAACTTGTTGAAATACTTTGTTCTAAGAATTCTATATTGTACCAAGAGTATAATATTGAATAAAGTTTTAAAAAATATATCAGAAAACTAGTTGATGTCAACCTGACAATGATCATCATGAACAGAGGAAATAGTTCAAGAAATTTGATTTTTTAAGTAGATCTCTTTTTAAAATATTTGAAATGATTCCAAAACTGATTAACTCAGATGACCCTTTAAAACACTTTCAAAGAATCTATAAGTGTTTATAGCCAAAATATCCAATCCACACTAAGTTGAATACTCGAAGATATTGAACGATTATTTTCTCATAGTTGAAATGGTGAGTCAATTGAAGCTAGACCACCATGGAAAACCTGGAAACACTGGACGACCGTTTCGTTCTATTGTGGAACTCCTCAGCAGTGCGCGTCCACAAAACTCCCTTCAAATAAATATCAACGAAAATGATGGTTCTTGGTAGAAAAACTCAATTTTTCAACAGCTGATGACATATTTAACAACTATAAACTTCATTGAACAATGAGACTAAGTTTCAAGAATATCCGGAAGTTCTTGTTAGCTATTCGTAAATAAACCATGGATTATAATAGAATAAAACAATTAATTTTAGATGATTCATGACAACGTGATCTAATCCAAAGACTGAAGAAATCACCAAAATGAACAGACGGACCAAGTATTTGTCAGATCAGTTGAACAAGATTCTTCATTGGAGTTATTTTTTTTTTATAATCTTTTCGAATAAATAGCACCTACTCGCATCCCTGTTTTCCGACTGTATAAATAATAAAGTGAATTTTCGCAGTTCGTATTTAGTAAAGTATTTCAATTCCTTATTGTCCATATTTAAGACCGCAATTGACCGGTTTATGTTTCTATTTATCCTTCGTAAGCGAATTCCCATGATATATTATTTAGTAACAAGTTTCATCATATTAAGTATGTGGCTACCAGTGAAATTTTGTTCCAGTGTAAATATCAGCACTGGGATACAGATTGAACGGCTAACGAGTCCTTAAGAGGACGAAACATGTGTCCTTGAACCCTCTGCTAACAAATCAAATATAATAATTAATATTAATTTAAACAAACTAGTTGTGTGTAGTTGATATTATTGTATACTCATTTACATTCATTATTACTACCATCATTACTTTGCCTTAATTTATTGTATTGTAGGTCTAAACACTTTGAATATGGATAATTCATCCATAGAGAGTAGTGAAGATAATTGTAGACAAAAACTTAAAAGAGGTAAGCTACTACTCATTATGAATTAAGTAGTTTTGATTGCTTTTTATATTTATATATACACATTTTGTATTGAATAGTGAAAGTATTACGATGTGTTTATAAGCTAATAAGAAGAATACAATTTTTGGGGTTTATATTACTCATAGTGTAATGAACGAGAATACTAGTGGGGATAACCAATGTATTTTAATACGAAATTATAGAATATCTTGGTCAAATATGAGAACCATACATCGATTACTTCATTAGCAAGTTACCTGATAAGAGGCTGTGACCAGTGGAGTTCAGCCGTGTCTGTTGTCAAGCAGTCACTTACTGGAGACAATGGTTAAGCGCGAGAGGCTGAAGGTCCTAGTTCCGAATGCCGCGTGGAGGTTCGTGAATGCACACTCCTGACCAGTCCTATAATAGAATGAAACAGTTTATCAGTGCTTCAAAATTTTCCAGGGTGATCTAACATTGATCAATTCATGAATCCAACTATTTAATTACTCCAATCTCCTCAAAACCCTCTTTCTGAACATAAAATTAATTTAGTCTTTATCGATTCACTTCTATTTTAATAACTGAAATCATATTCTTTTGATCTAATAGAATGTTTGAATAATGAGATAAGATTTAAACAGTTAGTCATAATGGGTTAACTGAATCATTCAGTCAATAATAAATAATAAACTCTAATTAGTAGGTCAACAATCTTCTTAAAGATATACATTTTAATCCTAGTTACCGCGTTACAATAAAATATCGTTTAATGCTTAACCTCTAGACCACTGAGCCGGCCGGCATCCAACGGTGTTAATGTCTTACTTCAACCACCTGCTTCAGTCTGGGCACCTGGGCAGTATCACAGCCCTCACACAAATCGAATGAGATTTGTGAGGCGCATATTTATCTGGTGCTTCTTTGTACCAATATTTATGTGTTTAAATAAAATAAAATAAAATAAATAACTAACTTCGACCAATCCATGAAATTGAGCAACCGTCCACCATTGTCTTCAGTGATTTACTATTTCACAAGAGACACGGTTGAACTCCACTGCTTCAACTATAAAATTGCTAAGATCTCCACACACACACCCTTTTCTAAGAAATTATGATATGTAACTATCATCAAAATGAATCTGAAGAATTCTTCTTTGTTAAATGATTGGAATCGGTCTATAAGAATTCCTCTTTGATTTAGTTTTCATGTTAACTGGAACTCGTTAGTAAGCTGTGAATTACCAACTTGATCCTGTCTGTGAGATCAAAAATCCACGCGATATATAGTTCTTTAGTCAAAAAAAGTTATCATTGAACTACTCATATATCAACTGATTTATTGAATGATCAAGTAATAGAATTTATTAATACATAGTTCTTCCAAATATCGGTAAAGAGAGTTTTTCAAAAGCTTTTGTCTTTAAGTTATCAACATGTAATGACTTCAATTCACTGTGATCCTATTTTAATACAATCCTAGTTGGCAGTCTATGTTCCATTGGGGGGTAACAGGCGTAAGTAAGTAAGTAAGTAAGTGAGTGAGTGAGTGAGTGAGTGAGTGAGTGAGTGAGGAAGTAAGTGAGTAAGTAAGTAAGTAAGTAAGTGAGTAAGTGAGTAAGTAAGTAAGTAAGTAAGTAATATCTAATATCTTCAACAATCTATTATTCATTTTGATGACCATTTCTTTTATCATATTCACTTATTTTTTGTCCAAGGACATTCAGGTGTAAATCAATTAGGTGGAATGTTTGTTAATGGACGACCATTACCAGATACAACACGTCAACGTATTATTGAATTAGCCCATTCCGGTGCACGTCCATGTGATATATCACGTATATTACAAGTATCTAATGGTTGTGTATCCAAAATATTATGTCGTTATTATGAAACTGGTTCAATTCGACCAAAAGCAATTGGTGGTAGTAAACCAAGAGTAGCAACTAATTTAGTTGTATTAAAAATAGCTCATTATAAAAGAGAATGTCCATCCATATTTGCATGGGAAATACGTGATCGTTTATTACAAGAAGGAATATGTACAACAGAGAATATACCTAGTGTAAGTTACATACTTTGTTCTTATATATATAATGATTGATATACATTTTCAATATAATCACCCTTTATTAGAATTTGATTGAAGTAATGAATGAGAACTGAGGAATTCTAGTTCAATTACCTTAAGATATGTTGACTACCATTAAACCCATCCTTTAGTGTTGGATTGTGAGAATATACTGATGAAGATTGATTAACTAGAGCCGAAACAATTAATTGATGGCTTTTGTGATCAAAACTTGATTTAAAATCATACAAATCTATTCATTACAAATTATTTAACCAGGTCTATTGGGAGATATCAACTCACTGAAGACAATGGTGGATGGTTGCTCAATTTCGTGGATTAATTGAAGTTAGATATTAACACAGTTAAATGTCGGACGGATCAGTGGTTTTCAGGTTGACCGCTCTCGAGCGAGACTGATAGGTCCTGCGTTCAAATCTCGTGAGGCGAGATCGTGGATGCGCACTTCTGAGGAGTCCCATAATAGAACGAAACAGTCGTTCAGTGTTTTTCAGGTTTTCTATGGTGGTCTAGCTTTAATTGATTCATGATCTCAACTAGTAAAATCACTATAATATCCAAAAAACCGCTTCTGATATGTTAAAGTAGATAAAAATACATTATATGTATTGTATCTATGAGAAATGAACTTATTAAAACAAGATTTCTTTTTTAATGGTTAGAAGTGAAATTCATGTACTTCTGTTCATTAACTAGTCAACGATTTCAATACAATCAAACTTGACTTTGATTTCAATCTTCAAATATTTATATGATCAGGATATTATGTGTCAATGTAGAGGGATTATTTTAAAGATAAGTTATTACGTAATAGATCACTTCACTAATAGATTGAATAACTTATATGTAGACATTTAAGATAACTTGATTATTATATATCATTATATGTACATAGATTTATCACTATGTTCCCAAGATACTGACTTGCTCTGTCATCATTTTACTTAAGAGATTATTCTAGTCAATAATTCTAATGACAAGAAAGAAAAAATCATCAACTTAGGATTATCCTAGATGACATTCATTAACAACATATATCAGAAACATTATTGATGACTCTATACACACACTTACTTCAGTCAGTCAGTCACAACGTAGAACTTCGTAAGTATGTACATACATCAGTTCGATTTGCCATACCACATTAGCACACAGATGAAGTTGTCGATTCAAATCCCATAGTGGTAGAAGTAGTAAGAGTATAATCAGTAATCCAAAAGATTAGGGTTTGAAGATCTCATTCAAGGAGTATAATACAGTGAAATAAATTTGGAAAGACAAAAAGGGTAGAGACATGAAGAATTCAGAAGATTAGAATTTGGTAGAAAACAAAGAGTGGATACACCTTCACCATTGCAAACGATTTTCAGCCATGTCATTCAAGGTTTCTAACCATCGATTGCTATCATCTCGCGAATCCCAACCAAGTATTCTACACCTACCAACATGGCTCAGTCCAATTGTCAGTGACTTCATGGATTTGTGCCACGTTTTGGTCTGGCCACCCCTAGCTTTCTTCCAACCTACTCCTACACCATGAAACATTGCACGTCGGGGCAGTCGGTGGTTGGGCATACGTAACATGTGTCCCAGCCATCTCAACTTGTGAAGTTTCACTACTTCATCAATCGATTTGCCATCCCTACCTAGTACTCGTTTCCTAACAACTGCATTACTTACCCGGTGGTCCCAGGATATGCGAGCAATGCTTTGAAGACACCTATGATCGAATACTAGTAGCCTACTTACTTACTTACGCCTGTTACTTCCGATGGTGTATAGGCCACCGACCAGCATTCTCCAACCCACTCTGTTCTGGAATACTCAAATCCATTCATATCAACATCTTGATTGAAAAATAACTCTGAAACTAATTGATATAAATCATATAAAATTGTTAGGAAAATATCAGTTTTATTAGTATTTAATTCATGGATTCATAAGTTCCAAAGAACAGAAAACATATTTTCTTTTGAAGATTTCCTTATGTGTTGTGATTTCAGTAAATGATCGCATTGAAATCAAGACGAAGAACTGAAATATTACACTAGATTACAAATAGTGATTGATAGTGTATATGATAATGATTTGATTGTCATGGTAAAAAATTTAAGTATTAAGTCTTATCAACATACATTAAAGAGAAATCAATCAAGCGTTCGCGCGCGAGACCGAAGGCTCTGGGTTTGAATCTTGAGTGCAGGGTCGTGGATGCCCTATTACTGAGGAATCCCATAATAAGATGAAAAGACCGTCCAATGCTTCCAGGTTTTCAATGGTGATCTAACATTAATCGGTTCATGATGTCAATCAAACTATATACCTATTGAAGATCTTGTTAACTCACTCAGTGGTTAGATGAGGTCTCCCTCACAGTAAAACATTAAGATACACCTCACCAACTAAGTCAATAAAAGAATGTTTTACGTATCTCCAACGACAGTCTTTCTTGAAGTGTAATGCTGATTATGGTCGAGATCTAGTGACAGCTAAATAAAAAGTTGCCATCGATCCATTAGGTTTGTAACTATTAAACTGATCTATGTAAGTGGATGTAGACCACTCAACTGGAGACATTGGATGGTATAGATAAGAATAAGTCACAATAGCACAGATGCATCACCCTTTTGTTTTCCTTATGGATCTTACGTTTCCTTACTCCTTCACATATACCTTATCAATTATTTTTCTCAAAAAGAGACATTTAGTTGCACATGGAAAATTAGTTAAATTGTCTGATTTCATGAAACATCCTTGTAATTTGAGCATTTAAACAAAATACTTTACTTTTACAGAAGAAAAAAACACGAACAGAAAAATGTTCGTTTGGTTTCGATGATAAATTTAAAATTTACTCATAAATATCTTGGAGTTGATGAACACGGATACGCACTGATGAGGAGTCCCATAATAGAACGAAACGGCCGTCCAGTGCTTCCATGTTGTCCTTGGTAGTCTAGCTTCAACTGACTCATGGTCTCAATTCTATAAAATTACTAAAATCTCCACAAAAGCTCTTTCTGAACATGGAAAAGTCAGTTAGCTACAAGGTAGGATCAGGAACATATATGCATCGATCCACTTTGCCACACCTCATCAACACAACAAGATGAACATCAAATTCATAGAAGTAGTTACATGAGTAGTAGTATTATATAAAAGAAAGATTGTGTATAAGGATATAATACAACAAGAAAGAATTAGTTTGTTGGAAGAGAGGTACAAAGTAATCTTAATCTGATGGTTTAAAGGAAGACAGAAAGTGTATACACGTACACCATTGTGATCGTTTCTCAGCCATGTTACACAGAGTCTTCAACCATTGATTATGATAGTTACGCAGACCTCAACCAAGTAGTCTACATCTATCAACATGACTCAGATCAGAAGTTAATGACTTTAGCAACTGATGCCACGTTTTGGTTTTGCCTCCCCTAACATGGATAAAGTACCATGTAATATATGAAAAAGCTTTATATATATCAACATGTTGTATGTTAATGTCAATGAAAGTATTAGTCGAAAATGCCAAGATTAATCCTGAATGTTCTCATATCTAAAATCAATATTTAGTTTATAATCCTGACAGAAATCGGTCAATCAAAAACCAATACAAGATAGAAGTATAGTTATCCATATGAGTTACTGATAATAATAATAACAATAGCTCAGCAAGCAAACAAACAACTAACAATACCATACGTGGCATTTCAACAACCACCTCCGGAAATCAGATTTCGAATAGAAAGTTTCTTTTCTTTTCTTCATCCAAAAAAAACGCCACATAGAAAGGGATAAACACTCGAAGAGATTGATAATATGGGTGTGTGTGTGTGTAAATGTGTGTCGGGTACTTGTATTCTCATCAAACCTTTTTTGTATAAACTTGAAAAGACAAAAGTGTAGGACATTTTCTTTTATTTGTTCATTAACACAGGAAATAAAGAGAAGTGATGTAGGTGTTTCTTTTTTACGACAATTACAGGAGAATAATTTGAGCAGAAAATGTTTTCGAGGGAAAACATACAACAACAACAACAGCAGCAACGACGACAACGACAACAATACCATAGATAATAATGACACTAATGAGAACAATAATATCATCGACGTGGAAAATAAACAGAAATTAATTTTTTTCAAGAAAAAAACCTTGAAAATAAAAAAGAAAGTAGAGGGGGGGAGAGTTTCATTTCTCGTATTCATCTATCTCAATGACTTATACTACGTATAGATCAGAAGGGGTTTTGTAGAGATTTCAGTATTTTTATAGTTAAAATCATGAGTTGATTGAAGCTAGATCACCATGGAAAACCTGTAAGCACTGGACGGCCATTTCGTTTTATTGTGCGACTCCTCAGTGGCAGTGCGCATCCACGATCTCGCCTCACGAGATTCGAACCCAGGACCCGCCAGGCTTGCGCCAGGGCACTTTTACTATATATAATAAGATTTAGATATAGCATTTTTATTCAAATTAAGTAATGAATAATGGTCTTCATTGAAGTTATTTTTCATGTTTTCGGTTTATTGAATATCATGATGAAGATGATTCGAACCTAGTACCTTTCGCTTCAAACGCTATCGCGTTATCCACTCAGCTACATCCAGCTGACGTGTCCCAAATAGGACAAAACGTGCGTCCTGGATTTCACTGCTAGCCACTGTCCATTTTTGTTTATAAATACAATGTTTGTTATCAGATTTTGATGGAATTTTGTTCTCTGAACTAGATGGTTTGGTCTTCTGAACAACATCATCAGCACAAATTTCAGGTAGAACTGAAGTGTTCAAATTTCTTCGGATATGGTTCACAGCTTGTCCTGTAGACTTCAATGTTCATCGGTTCCTGTTGACCTATAAATGATGAAAGCTTCACGACCAAGCTATCTAACTCAGAAAATAAAACACCATCAAAAACATCCATCTGAGATACAAATCTTCTTCACCATTTGTTATCATATATAAACTAT